AATAACCAAAATGCCCAGGGTGATGATATTTGGCCAGTAGCATGCTGGGGTAAAGGGCTATCAAGTTTGTTCAAATGAATGACCTTCACCTATATTCAAGGTCACAGGGGTCAAATATGTGAAAAACATTAAACAACTTCTTCTGAATAACCAAAAATGCCCAGGGTGATGATAATTAGTCAGTAGCATACTAAGATCAAGGGTTACCAAGTTTGTTTAAATGTATGACCTTGAATCATATTCAAGGTCACAAGGAATATGTTCAAAATATATAAAAAAATAAACAACTTGTTCTGAATAACCAAAAGGCTCAGGATGTTGATATTTAGTCAGTAGCATGCTGGGATCAAGGACTACTATGTTTGTTAAAGTGAATGACTTTGACTTATATTCAAGGTCACAGGGGTCAAATTTGTTTAAAATCTTTAAACGACCTCTTCTGAATAACCATGGGTCCCAGGATGTTGATACTTTGCAAGTTGCATCCTAAGATGAAAGGCTATAAAATTTGTTCAACATAATGACTTTGTTCGACTTTCAATCACAGGGGTGAAATGTTAAAAAGAAAAATTACAGGTTCCTTTGAATGAACTTAAATCATAAATACTGATATTTTATTTTGCCTGTAGCTTTATTTTAGATCACTTTTAAGGTTACAAGTGTGAGATTTATACCAGGTGAGCGATGCAGGCCCATTGGGCCTCTTGTCTTATCAATACAAGTGTATTCCAATCAACCTTACAGAAGATCATGCTCCTGCCCCTCCCACACAAGAACGGAAAACGAACAGCAAGACTGATGGGCTGATGCAGTTGGCTGTCCAGTTCATAACAAAGGGTAACTTTCAACAAGCTGCTATAACTTTGGAGGAAATCACCAAAACTGACCCACGCAACACAGAGGCTCATCTAGGTCTTGGTAAGTGTAACATTCAATCATGTAGGTCTTGGTACAGTTGTGGGATCGCACAACGTTACACGATGTGCTGTGTGCGCATGATGTGTGCACGTTGTGTGAACGATGTGTGCTCGATGTGCGAACGATAAAAAATTGGACGATCTTTGCTTGCGCACATTTGTTTGCACGATGGACGAACGTTGTGCGATAACAATCGTGGTTCGTGTAAATTGAGGAAAGCCTTAACAATATACACGGTTTTGTGTTTAAACATATAAACTTGATTTTTACGTATGTTTCTATATTCTACCTACATCTATAAGCTTATCTTTATGTCTATATTTTCTTAAAATTAGAAATTGTCGGTATTTTTTAAACGACCTTAATCGACACATGTGAAATTACAACACAGTCCCGTATACAGGTAAACATAGCCACTTTGTACATTTACCTTGACCGTAGTTTTCCCCCGCCCGGGGCGCTTACGCTTACGGGGTAGGGCCAGGGGTGTGAAAACCCAGGTGAAGGGGAGCTGTAGGCAAACCGAATGCAAATAACAAATACTACACGTCCAGTTGTGTTTTCATTATGGTCATACGGTATCACATATCAGCTCTTTGTGTCAGGCACTGGTCAGGTAAAACTCCAGTCACTCATCAAATTGTTATTTACCTGTTCTGTTACCTTGGAGTCAAACTTATTCAACGGTCACTGTAATGCTGTGTTACACGTATTGTAAAACTGTACATAATCTTCATAACTGTGATGAGAAATTACAGTAATACATACTGTTTTCATTATTGCATACAAGCTTTCTGTATTTTTTTCATTCCGTAATAATGATCTACAAATTGTACCTAATCGCACAGTTGTGCGGAGAGAAGCGCACAACGGGGCGAACGATTGTTAAATCGCACAGTTGTGCGCACCATGTGTAGACAATGTGCGGATGGTGTGTGAACAATGTATGCACGGTGTGCGCACACTATTTTTGGTGCGTTGTGCAGTCACACAACTGTAAGTGTAACAGTCACTCATGTAGGTCTTGGTAAGTGTAACAGTCGCTCATGTAGGTCTTGGTAAGTGTAACAGTCACCCATGTAGGTCTTGGTAAGTGTAACAGTTGCTTATGGAGGAATTGGTTAACATTACAAGCGCTCCCCATGGTCTTGTTAAGTGTAGTATGGACGCTATCATTGTTCTTGGTAAATTATGTAACACAGACACCTACAGAGGTCTTGTTAGGTGTAACAGTCACCAATGTCTTGGTGAGTTTAACAGAAACACTCGCTGAGGTTTTTGTAAGTGTGACATGAATTTTTTGAAAGTAAATCAAATTTTACTGTCCTGTTTTCAGTTGATATCTTTCTGAAGGCAGACCGACCTAAGAGGGCCTTAAAATGGTGCAGGAAAACGAAAGAATTCTGCAGCAGTAACGAATTGGCACTCAGGTACATGTAACATGTCCAATACTAGGGATATGAACGTGTATGTGACCCTAGGATGGTATTTAGTTAACTTCTTATAAATGGAGAAATATAAAAAGTAGTAATATAGATGATAAACAGTTTATCATACAATGTTTCCAGGGTTTGTCATTAAGCAATTTTTCTCATCTCTTGAGTCTCTTGATCTGCAGTGGCCTCTCAATTTTATCCATGTGCTTATGATGAGAAAATTGTTCTCACAACAAACCCTGAAAACACTGTGTGATAATTTATAATTATCTAACACTGACTAACTGAGATAGGAATAGATACACAATGTATCAGACACTTTCGTCAACTAAATATCAGATGCTGGGATAAAGCTTGATATCAGACAATAGATTGCGACCAGACATCTGAAACTGTGATGGGACATGATTTCTTAGACTTTATATATAATACTTAATAGATGATATTGGATAGCTAACACTGGAACTGAATATCTGATACATGTACTTCAAAAGGATAGGATATGTGATAGACCTGGAGATCTAACACTAAGATGGAACTTGATTTCTGATATTGGGATAGACCTGGAGATCTAACACTAGGATAGAACTTGATTTCTGATATTGGGATAGACCTGGA